TAACAACTCGCCTGCTAATCTGCTAGGTAAGGGCTCCTTGGGTGTGGCTCCGTGAAGGCATATTAAAAACACATCATCCACCGAACTAGTCAGTGCTGTGGTGACGCCTGGGTGCCGGAGCGTCACACCCTTGACGTGGTCTCTGGCATGCCAGTGGCTGAGGGGCTACGGTGGCTGTTGTCTGCTTCTGACCCTTGTAAATGCGCGTTCATGCTCTTCACTGGCTTGTTGGCGTCTTGCTGGGAAAGTGAGCGCCAGAGGATGCAAACTGATGTAGCCCAAGCCACACGTTAGCCCCAAAGAAATACAAAAGCAGAAAGCTGAGTTTTAGGAACAAATGGTTTGTTTTGCTATTATTGATGGGTGGCTGTATTTCCCTTTTTGCTTCGGTTACCAGGAAGCACACCGCTAAATTTGAAGCTTGATTCAGTCATGTATACCCCTTCTTATAAGTTTAATTTGTGTTCACTTATTCCATGGTGATAAGTGATGGCCTACTTTTGTTGATCTTTTTTTCTCCCTTGATTTCTTACTTCGATTTTGCTGTTATTTTATTGTATGTATTTATGCCAGCTATTTCAAGTCCTTTGTGGAATGAGGAAGCCAACAGATAAATATTTCTCTAAGCTTCATGTCTTATACCAACTAGAAATGCTTCTTGTTTATCATGTAAATTCCCTTGTGAATTCTGTGGTGATTAAACCCCTTGCATGTTAGAAGAGATTTAATAAAAGCTGGCTACAAACCATTGCAACATTTTTAGTGTTCAGGGACCTGCTCTGTCTGCTTCTCCTGTTCTCACTTGTCTATTCTGTGACAGCGAGGCAGTTTTCCTCAGCATCTCTGAAGGCCAACACCTGGTCTAGGTCATTTCTTCTCTTTGCAAACCAAACTCAGCATGGATATTTGGGGGGCTCTCCTTAAGGTAAGACCTCACCTTGAGGACTCAGAATCAGCTTTATTCCTTACATAGGTCAACCAAAAAAGAAAAAAGAAAACCCACCACAATTGAGTCATTTCTGACTCAGTGACCCTATAGGACTAGGTAGAATGGCCCCTGTGGGTTTCTGAGACTGGAACTCTTTCCAGGAGTAGAAAGCCTCATCTTTCTACAGAAGAGAGGCTGGAGGTTTCAAACTGCTGACCTTGTGGTTAGCAGCCCAACTTGTAGCCACTACGGCACCAGGGCTCCTACACAAATCAACAGTGGAGGTTCATTTAAGTATAGACCTCTGACAAAGTCAAAAGGGCAGCTGAGAAGGTCTGGACATTGTTAGAGCTCAGCTGATTCGCATCAACACACCAATATGAGGATAATTTCAAAGAATAATTGCCAACACACCAGGCTTCAACTCCAGGCACTGGTGTGCTCCATAGAGTATACCCACCACCACCAACTAGAATTTGATCCATAGTGACCTGACCCAGGCTTTCCAAGGCTGTAAATTCTTAGGGAAGCAGATAATCTCATCTTTGTCCCTCAGAGTGGCTAGTGGATTTGAACCTTTGAACTTGGTCCAATGCTTACACCAGGGCTCTTCAGTGAGTAGTATAAAAGAAAAAATCAGCCAGGCTGTCTCTACTGCACGGTCCAGCGCCACACTCAGTCGTTTTCCCTGCTTTCTTCTCAGGGGCCAAAAACAGAATCTGAATTCTTCCCTGAGCACGAGTCATTTGAAAGCCACCATCTGCATTTATATGTGAAAAGAAAATAAAGCAAGAAAGGACTATCCTACAGTTAGGAACCCAGACACAGCGAGGTGATGGCGAACAAATTCTGACACGCGCAGTGTTCCTGAGCCGGGCTTTCCTGTGGGCTCAGGCTCCCACTGTCTTTATGTGAGAAATGACCGTAAAAGCAAAGGAGGGGCCCTAACCTTACAAAGCTCCTCACCGCTGTCCGGGAGTCAATGGGCGGGTCACCCAGCCCAGGTTGTACAGCAGGGGCACTGGGTTGGCACTAAAAACAAATTAAGTGTGGTGTGTGTCTGTGTGTATTTCTAAAAGAGAAAATGCTTCATTCAGTAAGTATGAGTACAGTTTACATGGGACACCATTGCTGCTCCTGCGGAGAGAGGCGATGAAGAACTGGGACCGGATTATGTCTCAGGAATCGCAATGACCCTGGTAAGACTTGGAAGCGCAACTGAATTCAAAACCCTTGCTGAAAATTTAGCTTGGAATTTACCCCTCACGCTTTGGGCATTCAAAAACTGACCCTGATCTTACCATATTGTTGCCACAGGAAGCCAAAAATGCTCTAAGACTTTGGTTTGGGATTCTAAATAAGTAAATTGTTAGATGCAAACACCACTTTCATGGATTTACCTTTCATCATTTTGATTGCAAAATGCTGCCAAAATATTGTTGTCCGTCCCCCATCTCAGAGCCTTTCCCTACATAGCTGACCGGTTCTGCCAGCGTGGCACATGGGCGAAAACAACAGCGGGTTCTGGCCAGAGTCTACCCCCTGACGACTCAGTACGCTGACTGTTGGTCTGCTCTTCAAAAACCAGTCACCTATAAAGCAGCTACTCACTCCACAGCCACGGCCAAAGATCACACCATGCCTACATAGGCACCTTATTCGGCAGAAACCTCCCTTCTTTGTCTTAGACTTGAGGAGGTGAGGGACTCGACACTGCTGCCGAGAAGCAATGAAATAAACTGCCTTTTAAGGAGAAACCAGCGCAGGGTTAAAGCCAAGTTTTTCTTGAACAGATGATATTTCAGATGGCCACACTATTCCAGATGCATCAATTTCCTTGAAAATCCAATCCATATATGTGCATATGCTGTGCTGGCAGGAGGACTGACTGAAATGGCCAAAACCCAAGAGCTAATATTCTTTTGGCCAGAATAATGCAATTATTATTTTCCTAGCTATCAGTCTAAGCATACAGAGCCATCTGTTATGCAAAGCAAACATACACATCTCAATTACAGAAAATGCAGTTGCCTTGACAGAATTTGGATTCTACCACTAACCAGGGCTGTAAAATGTGTTTTGAGCTAGTATATAATGGGGTGCTTTGCAGGAGTTCCCTAATTAGCATTTACCTGCTTAAACTAATTATTCATCCTTCTTCTTTAGTGCTTTATTAAACTTTGTTGGCTACTATGCATAACACAGATGACGATGGGCACCGCAGAATGACAAACAGTGGTGCTTCCAGTTAATAACAACACGGTGGGGCAAACCAATTTCCAAACTGGAGAGTCTTGATACTAGGTCCCAAACAGATTAGGATGGGGCTTAAAGCCTATTACAGGCTATTACCAAACCAGAGATTTCAATGAGATACAAGAATACGAATATTTAGTTAACAATAGCTCAGTGTCTATCCTTTGGCTTCCCAAATCCACATTAAACAGAATTACTCTGCACGCTATAACCAATAGTTTGCATGTGTTTCAAGGAGGTCTAACCGGATCCTTGTCAGGATTCTCAACATTACAAAACCACATTTGGCAGCATTTCTCCTCTTCCCCCAATCCTCCCTCAAATGTCAAATACTTCTCTTCCCAACATCTTCCTTGATTTAGCCATCACCCAGCAAACTCATTAGCAGCCAAAAGGTTCTAGCCATGCTGGAGGGTTCCTAAGGTCCAGAAGCAGCAAGCCTAGGGTGGACCTCACACAGGAAAGGGCAGACTGCTCGTATCACATCCTTTAGCTCCAAGGGGCAACTGAATGAGAGGTAAATTATCCAATTTGACACACCAACACACACACACACACACACACACACACACACACGCATACAATCCCTCCCACTGAGCCTGCACTTCCCTTGTGCCAAACCATCAGATGTAAAGGGTCAAATTGAGCCCTTCACCTGTATGGGCACAAATACCCAGATGTACACTACTGTTATGGAGAAAAACTTCTTCCCTGATTAGCCGAATTGAGAACTTTCCTTCAGGGTATTTTAGCATTCGGCAGGTGCTGTCTCAGAATCCTCTGGAACTAATATTTTTGTGTTGAAGGAGACCAGGATATTGTTCCTTGCTCTACCCGCCACCACCATCATTTCCTCCCCTTCTCTTTTAACCACTGACAAACATGTGAGTAATGAAGCTGCACATCAAGAAAGGCTATCCGAATTTATGAAATTTTCTTTCAGCATTAGGAACCATCTGCAAAGGCAGTCAAATGCCCCTTTGCTGGGCCCCTCCCTGCAACACGTTTTAATGGTCTCCTTCAGCGTTTCTTGACTCCAAATGACTCCCTGTCACTGTGTCAGCTCCCAGGATAATGCAGGGGACTCCATAAACATCCGGTAATAGGACACAAGGGAAGCACTATTAGTGTGTCCCTCTCCTACCAGGCACAGAGGTTTCAAAGTTCAAAACAACGGAGGGAAGAAACTTCATTTGTTCTCAATAAATTAATCATGATCCTTGGGGGGCAAGAAGGGGGAAACGGAGTTTTTGAGCACAAGTTTATTCCTAACATTGAATACTGACACACGGCTTTCTCACTTACTGCATGCGAAGAGTCAGGCAGAGCCATTAAACACTAGATTTGGTAATTCATGCTAAACTGAGTGACACGCAGCGGAGAACGACAAGGCTGCAGCAGCCTCCACAATCGTTAGAGAGAAGCTAAATGGTTTCACTTACTTGGGAGAGGCCTAGGTAGATGGAGACTGTTTCGGAAATGTATAAAAATTTTCCTTCTTGATTTAGTGCAAATACAAATCCATCCAGGGACTGCAGAAAGGAAGAGTGGGGGGAGAAATGACATAATTAGGTCAATAAATATAGGCGAAGCAGATCTCATTAATAAGGTAGCTGTTAGAAAAGCAACACACAGTGAATGGGGGCCATTCTTTTCTTCCCGGGAAGGAGAGCCCTGGGATCTTTTCACCATGAAGTAGAGCCAAGCACAGGAGCTTCCTTTTCTTCAGGGATGGCTGGATGGCTTTGACGTTGTGATCGACACACATCACATTCATATGAGAGAGGACCGTGCTCAAGTTCTAAGACCACCTTTGCTTATGCACTTCTTTACTTTTGTTCTTGGAATGGTTGCGGAGATGAAATCCACAAGCTTGTTCCTTAAATAGCTGAGCCGAAATGGAAAGTCTAGTGATGTAAGAACCAAAAATGGCGGGGAGAGGGGGGGTTTCCTATCTGATTAACCAGTCAGATCACCACTTGAGCTCCGATGGACATCACGGACTTGCTCATTAATAAAGGATTGTGCCTTCCGTGCTTCCAGTGCTGTTGTGTTACAACCAGCAGGAAAAGTCAATACATCACGGGTGAGTGTTTATAGTCTGAAGCCTTATAAACCGTAATCCCTCTGTACAAAACTCCGTATTACAATTGTGTTGGCATAGATCTTGTTTCGATTACAATTCCTGAAATGGAAACAAGCAAACAAACAAAAGAGGATATCCCATCGTCCTAACTCTAGAACCCCGACTTCCCTTCCCAGAGGAAGGACTGCGTGCTCAGGGTGACAGACGGAGTCAACACTGAGGGCTTCAATGGCGGTACATAGCACTCAAATCGAGAGCGCCGTACTTTCAGATTCCTGCAATCCACGTGCATTCTATCCCCCATCATCCTTACATCTCTAGCTTCACTTTTTCGTTTTTGTTTTTAGTTTAAGCAAGGTAGGGGGTGAGAGCGCGGCGCACACGCTGAGGAAGAGAATTTTAAAAAGGAGTGCTGTTAACGCAGGCTATAGATCGGAAACGACAGGAAATCCACGCTGGGGGAAACATGTGGGAAGACTGGATTAATGACATCACTTTAAAAGTCTGTAACAGTAGAAGCTGCACGTGAAATGTAGTAGGAAACAGGCACCGCCCTAAGTCTCGGCAAGAACTTAATTGGCTCCTGCAGGTAAGAACTTCTCTGAGGAGCAGTCCGACATGTCCATGGCCAAGTGCTGGGCTGCGAAGTGACAGGTCAGCAGTGCGGCCTCGCTAGCCCTTCCGGGAGGGAAGATGGGCGATCTAATCCTAGATGGCTTTAGAGGTTAGCGACCCTGCGCAGCTGATCCCTTGTGCCCCACAGAGTTTATGTGGGTGGGAACAGACTGGACAGCCATGGGTTTGGGTTTGGGCTTACATAGGAATTACATGCATGCACCTGTACATATAAATATGTATGTGCTTGCGTTATATATATTTAAGTGTATGTATGAGAGTTGGGTTTCCATATTGGCTGACCCATGTTCACTGTGGGTGAAACGGTGGGTGACAGCTAGCCTCCTCCTCGGACACAGCGGGTCCCTAAGAACAATTCCGAAGTCTCACCGTAGTGTTCCACCAAAGGACAAATGAAATGGTACACAGATGGCATGGGAACGTTGCCCTACATTTATTAAGCGATCTATGCTGAGCACATTGTAGGTAAGCACATACAGGGTATGAACGGTGAAACATCAGGCAAAACCCAACCAGTTATATGTCTATGCTTCTATGAAGTCACTGTGGTTTTCTCCCGCAGTAGCTATCCAGGTTTATGATTTTAGCCCCATCGTTTCAAAGACCCCCTGAGCAGACCCTTCCGGCAGAGGACCAGGGTAGGCTACGGGCGGGTGAGACCGCGGGCCTGGCTCTGGGCAGGGGCAGCAGTGGTGGCGGCACAGGCTGCTCCTGCTGCTCCCATGGGAAGGAAGAGCGGCAGGTGGGGCGGGGCATCTTTTCCCTCCCCACGTGCTTCTTCCCACTTTGCTCCAGTTGCCCCCTGCACGTCCTCCTGCCTCTGCCAGCAGCACCTAGGGTGGCAGCAGGGGCAGCAGTGATGGAACAAACAGACACAGGGTCCCCTAAGGTTTTACTATTGTTTTCAAATCACACAACGTCCTACTTCACCGAATGTACTGTGCCAGAACGCCCCTTGGAAGTGAGGGGCCTGAGACTCCGTCTCATGTGCTTTGGCCATGTGATGAGGAGGGACCAGTCCCGGGAGAAGGGACCTCATGATGCTCGGTCAGTGAAGAAGCGGAAGGGCGTGGATGACATCAGTGGACTCAGCGGCAGCAGCATTGGGCCCGAACACAAGAGCAGTGGGGAGGATGGCACAGGACGGGCTGGCATTTTGTTCTGTCGCTCAGAGTCTTATGAGTCGGAAGCGGCTCAATGGTACCTAACAGCAGCAGCAACAATGGCATCATGGCCAGTAGGCAATGCAGACCTATACAAGAAGTGAGACAAGGACCCAATGAGCTCCCTGTCTTAACTGCTGGCTGTATGTGAGGAAATTGATGCTCAGAGAGCTTACACTACGTGCCTACAAGTAACTGAGTTAGTTTTGAATTCTCATCATGAGACTCAAACTAGCCTGCCTTCCATTAAAAACAGCTTCGTTCACTGACATGGGTAAATTAATAAAAAGATTAGCTTCCCGGCATTTCTGAAGTTCAAATGTTTATACTAAGAAGACAGCCTATGGCTTTAAAAAATCACTATTTGTGTTTGAATGGTTTGCTCAAATGACAGGATGCAGTCATTGGAAGGAGACAAAGGGGACAGTTAATGTGATAGCAGGAGGATTCACAAATCACTTCCTTAGGAAGCCACCACCTTTGTAATCTGTGCTCCAACCATTTGTGCCACAGGGTACAGAGCCCTGAGCTCTTTGGCTCTGACACACAGGCATGCCCTCTGGAGCCTTGCCAGACATAGCCGTACAAGCTTTGGATGTGGAACCTCACTTTGAAACAGTGCCAAGGAGGAAGAAAACTTTTCTTTCAAAAGTCTGGGAAGGATCTCCTTTCAACATGTCGTCACCTCAAAGAAGGTAGCTCCTAAGTGTGACTCAGGAGGTCCCTCCCTCTTTTGACTTTCCCTGTAGAGAAGTGATGCATTTAAATTATGGCATTGGTGAAGAATTTTGAATGTCCATGGACTCCCAATGAATGAACAAACCTATCTCAAAAAAGGACAGCCAGAATGCTCCTTAGAAGCAAGGATGCCAAAATTTCCACTCATGCACTCTGAGCCTATTATCAGGAGGGGCTATTTGGAGAAGGCGATCATATTTGTAAAATAGGGGGTCAGCAAAAAAATATTGACACACTGACCAACCATGACTACATAGATGGTGCAGGACCAGGCAGCATTTTGTTCTGTTGTGCACAGAGCTGCTATGTGTTAGAACTGACTCATGGTGCCTAAAATCACAACAATCCAACCTAAGAGCCACATGCCTGCATGCAACTACAGAGATTATTTAAGCCATCTTGCCAAACTTTTGACAACGTAGAAAGAAGTCACAGGAGATATATGGGGGCAAGTGACAATTGGAAGGTCATTTAGGGAGCTGAAATAAAGATTGTTGCAAGGTAATCCCCAAGAGTCCAAACCCCCATGTTATAGTGGAGGGCAATGAGGCACAAAGAGGCTAAGTGGGGAATTCATTCAAGGCCAAACGAAACGGACTTGCTCATGGGTGGGATGATGCTTTCTCCATGTTTGTCTGGTTGACAGTAAGCAACTGGTCACTCAAGACTTATTAAACCCCGTACACTTCCAAGTTCCCACGTCACAGGCTAGAGTAACTACTAGGAATTACTTTCTCCAGAAATTCTGCTTGTGGAGCGATTAGGCTATTTGCACCTTCAAATGCCACTTTGTTTCTCATATTGCCTAGAATATCTCTTGATATTTAGAAGATGAGAGTTAGACCGGATTATATATACACTGCCATTCCTGAATAGATGTGCTATTTTCCCATCTATACACATCCTTTACTTAGTCCCTGAGATAGTTAAAGTTTATTGTGACAACCTGGCCAATAAACACATGTGGGGTTAATTGAAGGGCAGAGAGATAAATGGCTTGGTGAGCCTCGCCTTTCTAGTTCTCAGGTCTCTTGCTTTGTGATGGTCGGACCAGGATGCAGCTACCTTAGCCAGTCCCCTGCTTCACCTGGCAAGGCTCACTTCCTGCAAGACATCCCTGAGGAGAAGCCACATGAATCTACCCTGATGCAGCCCTGGGTGCTGGAGCAGCCATGTGGAGACCCCTGCCAGCGCTGAGATGCTTACATGTTCACTGATTCGGCTTTCCTCCTGCAGTTGGCATCATTGTGTGTGTTTTGTGAGATGGAGGAGGACTTTGTGGATTGGTATCGGACATATGGGTTAATGTTGGACTTGTGGGCTTGGGCAGCACTGGGTTGGGATGTTTTCTTGATGTGCACTTACCCTTTATCTAAAACTCTCTCATATATGAGTTTCTGTGGATTTGCTTCTCTACTGTACCCAGACTAACACAGTCACTAAAGGGTAGTGGGCTCTTAACACCGAGTCCTCTCTCTTGTATTTACTGAAATACGGTAGGAAATTTGGGAACCAGAACAGGGAAAAGGCCTTATCCGGAGGCGAAACATCTGATATCATTAAGCAGCAGTGATCTAAGCACTGGCCAGTTTTGTTTGGCAAAACAGAGGCTGCAACACATGTTCCAATTTCCTGGTGAGATTAAAATGAGGCTATGTCTACATGACACAAAGACATTCAGTCAATTCAATTAAACCTATCAGCCAATTTGGTGGTGGGGGGTGTGGGAGTGGAATGTGGGGGTGGGGAGCACAAGTCAACTCAGCATTCTGTCAACACAGAGGTTAAAAACAGGAAAAAAATAAAACTGCTTTATTGACCCAATTTTTCACTTTTATGCTCATTACATCTAGCTATCTATAATCTGAGGAAACATATCTATAACTCGGGTCTGATCACCTTTCTAATG